ATGCATCCGCCTTGGCCTCCCAAAGTGCTGGGATTACAGGCATGAGCAACCGCGCCTGGCCCTCTGTAGCTTTTTTAGGTGACTATTTCCAAAACATGAGGTGGCTTAACAATCGCTTTCTTGAACCTGAACTAGTAGAAAATGTTTTGTTCCCTACAGCAGAGGTTATTAAATTTAGCTTCACATTACGCCATAATTTATTAAATCATTTCTTACTCATCGACTTTTAGAGATCAAATAATCCAATCTTTTGTAATCATAAGCAATACTTCAATGAATATCTTCATATATGTATCTATACCATGTGTTTGTCATAAATACATGCATACCTGTACAAAAAAAAAAAAAAAAAAAAACTAGAGGATGCCAGGAGCAGTGGCTCATGCCTGTAATCCCAGCACTTTGGGAGGCCGAGGCAGGCGGATTACCTGAGGTCAGGAGTTCGAGATCAGCCTTGCCAACATGGTGAACCCTCATCTCTACTAACATACAAAAATTAGCTGGGTGTAGTGGCACATGTAATCCCAGCTACATGGGAGGCTGAGGCAGGAGAACTGCTTGAGCCTGAGAGATGGAGGATGTAGTGAGCCAAGATTGTGCCACTGCACTCCAGTCTGACAGAGCGAGACTGTCTGAAAAAAAAAAAAAAGCTACAGGAGAACTTGACAAAGGGCCATATTTTTAATGCTGACCCGCTTATATTTTTAATGTTGACCCCATCACTCAATTCAATGGCTCTCCTGAAGGCTATCTTCTCTCAAAGAAACATGAGCTCATAAAACTAATAAAATAAATAATTGTTAGTCTCAGTAATATTACACTTACCTTCCTTTAAGCCTAAACCCCTCCCCAAAACCGTTTACTTTTACTAGCAAAGGTAGCACAGCCAATGAAGAAAATTTTAAGTTTAAAATTCAGGCATATAAAAAAATACAGATGACTTTAAACCTATCACTTATGATAAACTATAGTTAATAAATCTTCAAAACTCACAGTCTATCACTCCAAGTATCTGAAAATTCTTATATTTTAGGCTGAAAAAAAGCCTTTCCACAACCTTCGAAAAGGAGATGTGTTTGAGATATTTTTTGAGTAGCCACAGAAATCATACAACTGTACAGTCTCTTAGACATCAACTAATCCAACTAGGCCCAAGATTTTACTGTTGAGGAAAATAAGGTCTCAGGAGTTAAGAGAATAGACTACATCTGGACGAGGTCAGAACCCCATGCTTCCTTCCCTTGACACTAGCTCTTGCCCTTGACACTACACAAGGGGGCATTCACTTGCACAGATCAGTTATTATACTGTTGGTGCCTAAACCACCTTTCATGACATAATCAATCAATTATTGATTGATACTTCATATCAGACTGTACTCAAGTGTTGCAGGAGACTCATATGTATATAGCAGTCCTCAACATACATTTGGGGTGTGTGTGTGTGTGTGTGCATGTGTGTGTATGCAATCCAAGGGCCTGAGTGCTGTAAGTACAGTTGGAAGCAGACAAGGAAGTGCACTGAACACCAAAGAGTAACAAGGAATAAAAATTTAAGCAGAAATTAATCTAAATTTTCCTTAGACTCTATTATAACATAAATCATAATCTTTAAATCTACATCTGTCAAAAAGTCTCATTTAGCTTGTGAATTCACCTTGTTCTGCCTACTTCAGACCCATCACTTCATATACGCAGAAGATATAGCTCTTACTAAAACATTAATCTGTATATACCTCTTCCTTGGCATGGATAGGGTTGTTTAATTAAAACTTACATGTATTTAGTTAAATACAAAGACTAGCATCTGCTCAAATTAACTGATGTCTTTTTCTGAAAAATTAAAATGAAATTTTAGTAGGGAAAAAACAGAAATGTGAGACACAGTGATTTGTTGGTACCAATTATGTTTCAACTTAAAACTCTCAACCCAACTTGAAAATACTTAGGTTCTAGCAAGGATACTGCTGCAGAGGGAAATACTTATTCAGATGATTATCCAAATTTAAAAATCTATCACGTTTTTAAATGGCTGACAAAATCCACCACCAAATCCAAGCGCTGCCTGAACTTGATTACTTTTTTGTATTTGAGCCAAAAGAACAAATCTGAATGTTAACCTGGGAAAAATGGTAGTGTATATACAAACACTACACTTCTTAAATAACAGCTCTGATTTTTAAGAATCACTCTTGTAACTTCATAATATCCCCTTGAAAACAAGATGGGGATTTTAATCACTTAGGATTAAAAAAAAAAGGATTTAAAGCAAGATTAACTGTTGCTTTAAGTCTTGACATTTCCCTATTAATAACCCTAAAGCTTAATGAAGCACAGCAGATTTAAGAATTGAAATTTTTAATGAAAAAGAAAATTAAGGACAGTTTGCTGCTCTATACTATCATGAAAATAATCTGCTCCAGAAAGACTTTAGACTCTACATGTAAAAATCAAGACATATCTAAAAAGTATTTCCTCGTAAAATCTCAGTCTGAACTTTTAGAAGGTTAGGGCAGACTTTCATGAAAGTATAAAACTCAGAAAGTATCTAAGGCTTAATATATAGTGTTTTAAAAACAAGTAAAGATATACAAAATACTGTTTTTCACATTACACCTAGTATGTTTGCAACCTACCTATTAGTAATGACCGCCATGCCTCAAGTTAAGAAAAGCACAGAAATAACACATAACTTTGTCTAGTAACTAAAATAAACTGAACACCAACTAAGTTAACTCTTCTTATTTTCACAAGAACTCATGTTTCAAAGTACATGAAAATCAAATACATACTGAGAATAAACACATGCTTTACACTTAAGATGACTGAATCCTTGCCACATTCTAGAACAAAGCTGCTTCTTTTTATGTATGCTTCATATGTTGAATATTAATCTCTTTAAAATCTGTACCTAATAGGTGAAAAACACATAAGGTTTATGCATCTTTTTTCCAAGGTCCTCACGTAGGGTTGAAATCAGGATCTATGTGTTAAGTCTTAGAACTCTGAATTTCTATGAACATTAAAATACTGTCCTAGATGCCCCATAACCCATACAAACGTATTTAAATTAGAACATGGGGGTTATGCAATTAAGATGTGAACCAGAAAAACAACATAGGTTTCTAATATATTAATTAACTAGGTCAATGGTAAAAGCAACATTAATTTTTTTTTCTTAACCATAAACCTATGTAAGAATTTGAAAGTCACTTGTATTATTTAAAGGGAAAGCTGGTTATAACTTTGTGATATAATATTTTATCCTTTTATCAGGTAGGCTGAATGCTCAAATTCGGATTTTTTAATGTAAAAAACGCTAATATCTTAAAATGAGAAAGACTAAAGAAAATATTGATGTTGATCATAATATGCAAAATTGACTAGAATTATGTAAATCTAGGTAACAGACTAACTAAACTAATAATTTCTCAAAGTAAAATAACGTAGACATTTCAGTTAACAATTAAAGGCACAGAGTCCTATGAATATTTAGCTTGTATTAAAAAAAAAAAAAGGGTGCTCCATATCTGCACTAATAACCTATGCATTCTCTTTTCTGAAACTATGGGCTGCTTAGTCTGTAATTTTAAAAAAAAAAAGAAAAAAAAAACCCTAGATTGCTAACAGCAGCTGACTGCAGAGCAGCCACTTTCACCTTGGAGATAGAGCTTTGTTGTTCTGGCGTGTAAAGCAGACCATTAGCACAAAGTCATTTCTAATCTCAGTTGTACAATCCACATGGTGCACTTAACCCTAAAAAACTCATGTGGCATAAACTGCTCTGCTTCCACTCCTAATGACCTTTCAAATCATTCAGCGTTACTGCTTGACTTGTACTCATAAATTAGAGGACTGCCAAATAACTTGATGACAAAGTTAAAATTTCGCCTTTCCTGAAGGCTTAAAAAAGTCAACATTGGTATAGAAGAAACTGAGAAAGAACGTACAACGGAAAAGAAAAGCACATTATTTAACGCTTATAAACGATATTTTTAGAAATGCTTAAGAAAAAAATGACAGAAAATTCACACCTGACCTCAAGGCAGATGACTAAAACAGAAAATGAGACTGCTCCACTTGTAACACACAGTAAAGATTTCCCACAGTATTCATGACCAACAAATGTCTCTTCGTGTCCTAACTTCACTGAACAGCATTCAATTAAAACTCACTTTTAGATGAAAAAGTTTGTGAAAATAAACATCTGCTGCTGGACTTACACTGAGGATTTACTGTCTGTAAATAAGACGACCCAATACTGTCCAAAAATTCAGGTTTTTAAAGTAAGATTTTAAAAAAATGTATCACATCTCCTTCGTTTAAAAAAAAAAAAAATTCCTAATACAGGAGTCTTAAGTTTGTCTTGCCTTCCTTTTACCTTCAAACACTTTAGAAACAGGACTTTTTTCCTTCTTCCTCCTTCAGCCTAACCTCTTTAATAAACCCCATTTTTAAAGAAGAAACAATAAATGAAATGACACGAGGTGAAAGAATGAGGAGTGTGCGCTGGGAGAATAAAGGGCGGTTTTATAACAGGAGGTACTTTTGTTAGCAAGTGACTGGCAGGTCTCCTCCCCCAAGTTAGAAGGAATTCCATGCACTCTCCAAAACTGCAAAGGCCAAAAATGTCTAGTCTAATAGTTCTGAAATCCCCGAGACAGGAGAGAGCCCAGTGGGGGATGGCGAGGGGGGAAGGGGAGAAAGACCGGTAGGAGACTAAAGAACAAAAGAAGAAATCCAAGAAAGGGGAAAGGAACGCCGAGACCCTGGCGGCCTGGGAGGCAGGGGTGGGGAGAGACAGAAAGTGAGAGAGCACGACCCCGAGAGGAAAGCGTGGAGCAGGGCAGGGCCAGGCGTGCCGCACCATGGCGCACCATGGACAGGGCTCCGCGCGGCGGCGGCCCACACCCGTCTAGGAGGTGGCGGGAGAAAGCGCGAGAGACTGCGGGCGCCAGCCCCGTCCCGCCCCGCCCCCGCCCCCGCCCCAGCAGCACTCACCCCTCGGCGGGCCGGAGCGCACCTGGCCCTGACCCGTGAAGACCACGGAGCGGGGCAATCCACACCACCTGTCCCCATCCCCGGAGCAGACACTTCCGAGCTGCTTTCGCACTTTTCGGGGCTGCCAGCTGGCAGGAGACCACCCCTCCCCCTGCCCCGAGGGCGATAGCAGGGGGCCCCTCCGCGGATTTTCCTGCCCCGCGGCGAGGGCGGGCACGCCCCTTTCTCGCAGCCTTCTAGGGACCCCACGGCAGGCGGAGACTGACTTGGGACCAGGGCACTGCGCCCGCCCAGCTGGAGGGTCCCGGCCGAAGCTGTGCGAAGTGGCCTCCAGGCCTGGGCTGGCTGGTCAGGAGGAGCCTAGGGGCATCCTCGGGTTGGAGGCGGCGGAAAGTTGGGCTGCCGCTGGGCTGGGGACCCGCGGCGCGCAGCGGCGAGGGAACCTGCGCCCGGACTGGAGCAGGTGCTTCCTGCAGCGGAGGAGCCTCTTAGTAAAGATTAAATGAAAAGGCTCGCTGGCGCTCTCCCCAGGGTATGAAAAGTACGAAAGGCTCCAGGCGAAGGCGCCCCCGGGGCGCATGTAGGGCACAGGCAGCCGGACAGATAGAGGAGCAGCCGCGTAACGGAACTTCTCGCCCGGGGGGGGGGGGGGGGAATGGGTGCGAGAGGCCAGACTGGGTCTGGAGGCAGGCGCGGACCGGCAGAGACTCCTCCGGGAAAGAGGGCCAGATTTTCTTTCCAAGTGGGACCGACACAGAATATTGTGAGGACAAGAGAAGAAAAGGAGGCAACTCCAGACTGGGATAAAGACAATAGGACAGTGGAGCCCTTGGGCACCGGGAGGCGCACGGGTGCAGGGTGGGGTAAGGCGGAGGCAAGTCCCGTAACTAAGACACCAGAGTGAGAATTCCTACTGTAAACTCGCGACCCATCCCTGCAGAAATAAACAACAACAACAAAAAAATGGAGCAAAGTACCATGTGAGGGGCGAAAGGCACAGAAAACTGCAAAACCTGGGAGTTACCGTGCCTCACCCTTCTGCTTCCTGGGGACACCCCCCTCGAGCTTGCTCGGCCCCGGAGGAGGAGCAGAGGGGACCCACAATCAGGCCCCTAGAGCCCCGTCAGGAAAGGCACGAGAGACCTGCTGGCCCCGGGCAACCCTGCCCCGGCAACCCTGCCCCGGCGCCCAGACGGAGCCTGATGCCTGCGCAGCTCCCGGCCGCGCGGCGCGGCGCGGCGCGGCACCTCCCTTCCCGGGTGCGCAGCCCGGCCCCGCAACGGCGCGGGGAACAAAGGGACCCGGCGCCGCCCGCCCCACCCCGCCCGTGGCCCGGCCCGCGGGGACAGCCGCGTACCTGAAGCAGGGCCGCCAACAGCGGCAGCAGGGTCCGCAGCGCTCCCGCTATCCGGCACATGGAGGCGGAGAGGGGCCGAGCGAGGAGCCGGAGGCGGCGGCAGCGGAGGCAGCGGCAGCACCAACAGCGGCGCGGAGAAACGGCTCCAGGCAGTTTCCACCCCCTTCCCTTCCCCTCCCCTCCCCACCCCCTTCTTCGCTGCTCTCCGCTCCCCGCCAATGGAGAGCGAGCTGATGACAAATAGCGGGCCGCGGAGTCCGCGGGACTCGCACCAGGAGTAATAAAACAGACCCAGAGATCAAGGAGCTGGGGAGGGAGGGGGGCGGGGGAGCAGGGCGGGCGAGCGTGTGAGTGTGTGAGAGTGTGTGTGTGTGAGAGAGAAGGCGGCCGCTGTGGCAGCGCAGGCGGCTCGGCTCCGGCCCGGAGCGCAGCGGAAGCCGCGAGGGATGCAGTGGCGGGGACCTTGGCCGGTGGAGGATGCGGAGGTGGAAGTGGAGCGGATGGCGTTCCCCAAGAGCTCCGCCACGCGAGGTTTCGGGCTCGTGGTTTTGCTTCCTCCGGGTCCCCGCTCCAGGGCCGCTCGGCGCGACGAAGACGCCGGAGACAGCGCCGCGGGGAGGGCGCTCCGGGCCGTGCGCGCTGCACCCACAAAGAGCAGCAGTCCCGCCACCCGGCGCCTCAGCTGCGTGGGGGCCGAGGGCCGCTTCTCGGCTTCTCTTTCCGGTGCCCCGGCGAGTTGGAGACTGTTCTCCGGCCTTGGCCGCAAGGGGGTGAGGCGAGGGGCCGGCGCGGCCGCTCCCGCCGCGGCTCCGTCCCGCGCAGCTGCCCCCCCAGCCGCCCCTGCTGCCCGCGCACCGGCACCCGCCCCCCGGTCCTCGCCCTGCGCCGCTCACTCGCGCGCGCCGCCCTCCGTCGCCGACCGCGCACCCCGCTCGGCCTCCGCTGCGCGACCTGGGCGAGCCGCCGCCGCTCTCCCCGCGCTCGCCGCACGCGCTGCCTGGCTGCGCGGCCCGCTCCCCTCTCCTATCCCTCCCGCCGCCGCCGCCGCCCTCGCCCCCGCCTCCCTCCTCCGCCGAGCTTCCCCGCCCGCGTCGTGGCCAATCGGAGGCCACCAAGCTGCGGCTGTAGCCGGCCGGATCCGCGGCAGCCGCCCGCCCCCGCCCCGCCGAAGCGCCCCGTATTTTGCTGCAGCCCGCGGGGGGTCGCCGGAGGGAAGCCTGGGGTGCGCCGAGCACCACCCCGGCAGGTGGAGGGGCTGCGGGAAATAAAATAACTTGGGCAGGAACTTGATTGGTAGCAGGTTCATCTTTGGTCCGCGGTGGGGAATCTAATGGAGATGAGGAATGGTGAGCGGGGGTGGGGGGGGGTGCATCCTTGGGAGCCTAACGCACGCTTCTTTATTTTGTCGTTCTTAAAGATGGGTAATCTTTCCTGGCAGGGGCAGACACAGCAAACTAAGGACGCAGGCCAAGCTCATCCTAGCTATTGTTGTCTGAGGCGCTCGCGCGGAGCCACCTGCGGGCGGGGGAGGGCGGAGGCCGCGGCTTCTCTCTGGAGCTCGCACCTCCAGCTCCCACCCTTGCGGATGTGCTGGAACAGCCCAAGTTTTTGTGTTCTTGGGTTGTTTTCTTTTGTCCCCTCTGGGAGTTTGAGAGTGCATGTTTGTTATTTTATTTGAAATTTCGCGTTTTCTGTTAACTACCCATTAGTGGTACTGTTCACATTTGGGGCCAACAGTTTCAGGGTACTTTTATCCCCTCCTACCACCCCCAACAGCAATTTAAAAAAAAAGAGAGAAACTAAAAGCCGGAACTCGTGAAAACAGGATTATCTAAAAGATAAAATGACTGATACAGAATACTCACTGTGTAAAGGGTTTCTGCTGGCTTCCTTTAAGGCATGAACTTGGAGTGCAACACAGTGAGACTTTACAAGTTTGAGTCACAAGCATTTGTGGAATGGAGCGGGGGATGGGGAGCAGTTTTTGTGGGGGTTTTTTGTTTGTTTTTTCTAATTCTGGTGAGGTAATAAATTGTCCGGAACGTTTTTTTTAAAAAAAAAAAAAAAGGTTTACAAGTAAATAGAAATACCCGTTTTATCTAAGCTTTTCAACACTTGGGAGGTCGGTGAAGTTCATTGCAGTTGATGAATATTTTCTGTCTTTATTGCTTGTTTTTCTGCTTTGGGTGACAAGTATTAACATTATTTGAGTTTCAAGATATCGATCATTTAAGAATTTGATGATGAACCTTTAAAAATCAGCTACTAATTTCTTGACATAACTGATGCAGCTTTTAATAATATACTATTGCTGGCTAGGCTTTTAAAAATTTAATATTCATAGGGAGGCTTATTCAATTTTAATTAAAACATAATATTGTAAGTTTTTTATGCAACAAAATTTTTCCTGGATTTTCTTTCTTCTCAAAAGAATAAGAAAGGTTATGTTAATTAAATTTAAAAGATGAGATGAAACACTTAGCTAATATAGTAATCAGAACTGCTTGTTCTTACCCTTTCTCTTCTTTTTTTGCTAGATATTATTGTCATACTATTGCTAATCATCCTAAAAGTTACCTTTGCAATAGAGTGTTTATAAATTATGCTTTCTGGGAGTCATGCAAAATAATAGTAAAAATTCAGTTGAGATATGGGGATATGTTTGTTGTATTCCAATGCGAGATGTAGAGATCTTATCTCCATGGCTAAGATTTAAGCTTCGACCCTCTGGGGTTTTGATTGCATCCTCATCACTCCTAGCAGTACCCATTGATGTTTATTACCATTGTGATTAATTTAAAGGTAGAACAAATTTCAGCATGAGTAACTCTTTCTTGTTGGTAGTATTTACTTGAAGCTTTAAACATCATGTCCCTTATAAATTAAATGCTTATGATTTCAAAATCTCCTTTGGAATGGCTGTCAGTCAAGGAATTCTCTGATTCCAACAATTTTTGATCCTTTAGGTAAGCACTTGCAGCATTTTTTAAAAGTTCAATTTGCATGCCTCTCACTCCTCAGTGGTTGTGAATTATTTTAGAATCTTGCCTCATTTTAAGTTGATCGCTTGGTCAGCCAAATTTTGCTAATAATAATAGGCCTCTGATTACAAGAAGGAATAGTCTAGTCTAAAATCATGCTGTTGGAGACTTTGTGCATCCATTTGATGTTAATGAAGGTAGATCTAGTGTTGACTATGATATCCAAACACAGCTTTACCTCAGTAATACCATACCTAAGATTAGCTAATGGGGCCATTCATTGTCCTGGGCAAGGGATAACCAAACTCACAGATTTTTAGCCCCTGCTCAAAGCATTACTTGTCTGAAGACTGGTTTTCCATCAGCCTATAGAACTCCAGGGATGTAGGGGATTGTCAGTGACCCAGAGAAGCAACCAGGAGGTATTAGGTGTTGTATGGTTGGAGACAAGAAACAAATATATAATAATATAAAACATGACTGCGTTCACACATCAAAAATCAACCTAATCCTTCATTTCTGACCTATGGAGTGATGCCTGTTTACTACAAGAGGTCTGCAGAGCATTATGGAAAGACTGATTAAATGATGTACTCTGAACACGTGGCCAGGTTTTATATGTATGTAGAGGTCGCGATGATTCATTTCTAAGCATTCATTTTTATATATGTGTAGTTTTTATATGTATGTAGAGGTCATGATGTTTTTTTCTAAGCATTCATTTCGAAAATTGTAATAATTTTTGTTCTGGTGTGTTTTGTCAGACAGGAGATGCTAAATGTACAAATTCACCATGTGGGTGTTTGTGTACAAGGGTTCTTCCTTTGGACATAAATGCTCAACAGTAGTAGTCTAATCTGGAGCCTCCTCTCCCCCACCTCCCCTTCCCTATCCCCTATAGATATACACCTCAAAGACAGGCTCCACACTTGTCTTTGTCTCTGACACCTAGTGCAGTGTCCTTCCCAAATGTTGAATGAAGACGCCCTTCTCCACTCTTCCTCCTCTCCCCGTCTTCAGAGCAAACTAGGATTGTCCCTCTCTGTTAGAAAGTACCCCTCAAATTACATTTTCTCCATAATTAGCTTTGGTGTACATTAAAGCTGATTTTCCCCGGGTAATATCCCTTTCATAGAGTCATAGAATGTTCTAAACGAAACATTAAAGGTGGTCTTTGCAACCCCCTCATTTTACAGATGGGACACCCTGAGACTTAAAAAGGTACACAAGGCCACCAGCGGGCAAGTAGGGAATGCAGAATGGGACCCAGGTTCCCTTACTCCCACTCTTACCTAT